TTTAAATAGGCTATTCACCCCCTCTAGCCATATTAGGAGCTTTCAACCGGCACCGCGGCGGCGTGTGCAGAGGATCAGGCGCAGCAGCAGGCGGGTGGCCACACGCCGACGCCGCTCCCGTGCTCCGTCACCGAGGCCGTGCATATTGCCTGCCTGCCCATAGGCCTGCGCCCAGCAAGAGGCAAGCACATAAGCAACTGAGCTCGCCACCACGTGTTCACGTTCAGTTCACCTCCCCCGCTACATGCCACCCAGCCCCTGCTCGCGTCGTCCCATCGCCTTGAGCCACAACAGAGCAAGTTGGCTACACCATCGCCTCCCGCTGCAGCAAGGCACTCACGCCTCCCTGCTCCAGTCACCTCTGTCGCGCCATCACTCCTCCTGCATGCTCCATCGCCTCAGCGCCACCATCGTCGCAAGCAGGCGACGCCCGCTGCAGTGCTGCCATTGAAGACAAGTTGCTGTGCTTGCCGGCCAACCCCCCTCCTCCGGCCTATAAAAGGCAACGCCGAGGTGCTCTCCTCCACCACCCAGCAGCACGCTCATCTTACTCGCTCGCCTGCTCTCACTTCACTTTGCCACGCGTATACCGTATATGGCCGTATGCACGAGCCAGGCTTGACCGTCGTCGTAGGACGAGGTGAGCAGCTCATGAGCATCCCCTCACTCTTCCCTCCCTCCCTGTGGTCTTTGCCCTGCTTCCCTCCGTCCAACCCGAGCTACCCATGAGCTCAGCCATGGCGTCTTCCATGCATGAAGCAAGAAGAGCACTCGTGACCCTTGCTAGCCTCTCTCTCTCTCTCCCTTCCCATGCATGTGTGTAGCCTACGCACGAGGCGGTGATGTCCTAGTGCAAGGAACTCGCGCCGATTGTCAAGCACGTGAGCGATGGCGGTTGTCGTGGGGTTGCCCATAGGCGAGACAGGCTGGATTTGGGCATGACTGTAGACAACGTCGTCGTGTCGGTGTCCGACAACCGCTCCTCCCCGGCAGCGCCACCTGTAGCATTGTGAGCTCCACGACGAGACCTGTCGCGCCACCGACGCTGCGCGGCGGCATTGGCAGCTGCACCATGGTGGCCTCTAGGGTGGGCTGGCGCACGGCCATTGAGAGACCAAAGCCTGAGGCGGCCGTGATCCGTGTGACTAGCCACGACGAGCGGTAAAAATGGCACCTTTGGGTCTCGCTCTGCTGTTGATGTTTTGCCGAGGCGAGGCGACGACGAAGGCGGTGGCGCCTCCTTTGGGCGACGGTGAGAAGGGTACGTGGACGCCATGAGTCGCGTGGCGGTAACCGACGGTTGCCGAGGCCTTGGTGCGCGCATGATGGCCATCTCCGCTCCATGGCGTCGTCCTCGGGCACACCATGGAGGAAGCGGCGGAGGAGCCGTTCTTGCACGATACCGCGCGTAGTACATGCGAGGACTCCGACGACACGGCCGCCTCGGCGTCGGCCGAGCGAGAAGCTCCGGCGATGGGCGCCGGCGCCGCCCGTAGGGGACCAGACGTCGTAGTCGTCCCGGCGTAGAAACGCGTCGGCGCCGCCGTTGTACCCGGCTGGTCGGCGGCGAAGGGCGATTAGCGATCTTGGTGGTGGTGGCGGCGTCGGGGCTAGGGGAGGCTCTAAGGCGGGCCGGTCTGCAGCGGGCCGAGCACGGGCGACGGTGGGGAAGCGGGCTTGCCGGCGAGCTCGGCGCGCGCGGTGGCAACCAAGGCGTGGAGCAGATGCTCCGGGCCGAAGGCGAGGCGGATGAGCTCCTTGTTGCTGTTGTCCTGGATGAGCAGCAAGCCCATCATCTTGGAGCCGTTCTCCGGGTCCAGCGTCCTCATCCACCTGCAGGCTGCAGAGCCCTACACTGCATCTCATCCTCATCCACCTGCAGCATCACGAGCTCCACGGCCGGCCTCTGGGGTGGCTGCGCCGGCGCTGAGGAGACCCGAGCCGGAGGCGGCCGTGATCCGCGTGACCAACCACGATGAGCGGTCCGTGGACGAGTGACGACGGCGAGTGCAAGCATGGCTCCATCGACGCAAGGACCAGAGGCCGAAGCCGACGTGCATGCATGCATGCGTGGACCTACAGTGAACCATTTTAAAAGTTCATGATAAAAAATATAGTTTCAAAATTGATGAACCTAAATAACACCAAACAAAAATTAATGGATCTAAAAATATAATTTTAAAATTGATGGAAAAGTTAATAGACCTCCCTTATATTTTACTTAAAAAAACCCCACCGCACGGGCAAAGACCCGGTACCGAATTTTTTTTTAAAGACGTCAAAAGAAAAAGCAACAACCGTGGATCACACGGCGGACAAGACTCTGTACATAGTACTTTTCAAAGTCATTCCGGGGCCCACCCCCACTTCTAAAAGAAGCCCAGCCCTCTCTCTCCCCCACTATATACTAAAGAAAATAAAAAAAATCCCAGTCTCTCTCCGTGCCGTCCGCCGTTCGGCCTACGGCCTTCGGCGTCCCCAAGAAGAAATAGCTCCGGAAATCCCCATCACCTCCAGTCCTCCACTTCCTCCTCCACTCCCCCGCCCCGGCCCACTGACCGCGGCGGTGAGGTGAGATCCGATTGCGTTCCCCTCCCCTTCCCTCTCCCCCCTCCGGGTGTTGTGCGGACGGTTTGATCGGTCAGTTTCGGGTTTTTTTTGGGGGTTCTTGATTCCGCCTGGGGTTTAGGGTTCTTGGTGACCAGCGGTTCGATCTGATGTCTCGGGGTTTGGGTGTCGGAAGACGCGGTGTGTGGCTTTGGGGGGTTGTGTAGGGTTTGGGGTGGGGGATTCTAGGCGTTCGTGAGGGCTGGTGTGACTATGCTGCGGTTCTTGTCTTTTCGATGCATGGGTTTGTGATCATTAAAGATTGAATACTTTCTTAGCTGTACCTGTAAGAACGGGATGTAATCGATGCATGGGTTTGTGATCATTAAAGGTTGAATACTTTCTTAGCTGTACCTGTAATAACGGGATGTAATAACAAGCACGAGTATATATTGATCTGTAGTGATGCTTCTAGTTGGCCACCCCATGACCATTCCATTGGGTTGGAGTGATTTGTCTGCCGTTCTAGTCTTTTCAATGCATGGGTTTGCGATCGTTAAAGATTGAATACTTTCTTAGCTGTACATGTAAGAACGGGATGTAATGACAAGCACGAGTATATAGATCTGTAGTGATGCTTCTAGTTGGTCACCCCGTGACCATTCCATTGGGTTGGAGTGATTTGCCCGTAGGTGTCAGTAAGGATCGAACAAAAAAACAAAACAAAACTTGAGAACCAGCAGCTTACCACCATCATTACAGGTACTGTTCCTGAAATCGGCCGCTTAGGTGTCTGCCAAATTGCTGTGACTGTCTAGGTGGCCACCTAGCTTACCTGATCTCAGCGATCTGGTGCTAACCACCAGCCAACACCCAGTTGCCTACCTATTCCCTTGTGCTTGCTACAAAACTCTTTACAGGGAATTATCATGTTTATCAATTTGTTCATTCTTCATATTATTCACTCCTTATCCAAATGACGATTGAAGTGGTCCCTTTCTCCTGTAACCTTTTGTGGTTCAGTACTTCAGTTTATGCTCCTTCTGCAATTTTCATCTTGTACAGTTTAGAATGTAATAAACTATAAAAGGATAGATTGGTAATTCAGACTGTTAATTTGCAGGGTTTTATGTACTTACACATACATGTATGTAGGAAATAAATCAGGCGCAGATCTGATACATGTTTCACTAAAAAGGGCGTACCCAGTGCAGAGAGCTCCCGCTTTGTGCGGGGTCTGGGGAAGGGTGTCAGTGGCAAGCCTTACCCTCGCATGTGCAATGCGAGGAGACCGCGACTCGAACCCGGGACCTTCCGGTCACAGGCGGTAAGACTCTACCGCTTGCACCAGGCCCGCCCTTCTGATACATGTTTCACTGTTTTGAAAAAAATAAACTGACTGCATGCTATGCCAGTGACAGTTTTTGTTGCTAATAGAGAAGAAAAGCCTTTATGGGTGAATAATTTTAAATTGGTTACAGAAGTCACCATGGATTTTTGCTGAGCTAGCAATATTTATACTGAAAAGACCTCCTTACTTCAAATTATTTGAGTGCTGAAGCACTGAATATTTGTACTTTTTTTTTCATTATGATCACTGATGTTGTCACTTGTCTTATGCAACAGAACATGCTCTTTCTATGTCTTGCTGAAGTTTTAAGTTATATTGGCATTCCTGTTGTTAAGTCTGAAGTAAAACCTCAGCTAACTGGTTAGTAGTGGCATGTCTGCAAAGGTTCCAAGGTACTGTTATCACATACTTATGAGGCCACTGTCAATGAGTACACAAACTTGGTTAAATTACATATGGTTTTTCCTGTCATGAGATGTAATTCTTGTGCATTCATATTTTGTTTTTCCAGTCTTCAGTCTACTGTTTGATTGAAACAAATGAATGATTTAAATGGGCTACCTCGCGCATGCTTTTATTGTTAGTCGAAGAACTTGTTTTGGTTCAGAAGCTTGCATATGCATTATGCATGCAGCTGACATGCCAATATCCACGAGGTTATATTATCTGAAGATTCATATATGGATAAATGATAGTCCAAGCTTTGGTGACTTGGATTGTGAATTTTGTTTGGCCAATTTGACTTTAAGATCAGCACTGTTTTTGGTCGAAGTAAAAACTCATGCATTTTTCATTCTATTTCTTCAGTAGCAACCCAGATATAAAAGAGAGTAGCATGTCAAAAGATTTCCAGTTTTCCACAATATTTATATATATTTGCTGATCTGTAGACCTATCAGAAATATGTTATGTGTGAATTCAACTCGTTTGAGTGCATTGGATACTGAATAGTGATTACATTAATACTATTTTAAGACCATTTCGCAAACTTGTTACAAGAAGATGATGTTTTTATTACATTGTAGTGTTGATGATCATGTTGCCTACTCATAGTCTGATACAAGATTAATCTTTCAGGTGCTTAGAAGTTACTTCTAGTGGCATGGCGGATTGGGCCTCTATTCAAACTGATATTCTTGGTATAATAATAAAGAAGCTTCCAATCCCTGATTACATTAGATTTCGTGCTGTGTGCACATCTTGGAACAATGTCTGCAAGGTTGTGTCATACCGTCCAAGGGTGGACCCATGGCTGATGCTCCCCCCAGATCAGAATCCTCTTGGTGCTCAGTTCTTTTGCATTCCTGAAAGAAAGAATCAAAGTATCCGTCTCCCTAACACTGCCTCACTGTTTGAATCTGTCTGGGCTCCAGTTGGTTCTTCCAATGGATGGATTATCTACTTCAGTCAAACTTATGGAACCATGCAGCTGGTTAACCCTATCAGTGGCAAACACATTCAGCTCCCCCCGATAGGACGCAGGACCTTCTCTAAGGCCAAGCTGCTTGAAATGAATGAGAGAAACTTTATTGTTGCTGCCCTCTATGCTGATGAGAAAGGTTATAAAGTAACGCGACAAGGATCTAGCAACTGGTCGTCTGTTGAATCAAAATTCATTTTGGATGATATCATCAAGCATAGAGGTCGGCTGTACACATGTGATATGTATGGTACAGTTGAGATGTGGGCAGAGCCGCCCCATGCATGGCCAGATGAGGAAGTCACACATCGGTGGAGGTTTCGCTGTCTTATAGAGACCCCAGCTGGTGATCTGATTAGGGTTAAGCGCCTGTGTCAGAATAAATTTGCTGTTTGGATATTGGACAAGGGGACCTTTTCCTGGGTTGGAACCGAGAACATTGGGGATCTTGCACTGTTTGTGAGCCACTACAGCTCATTCTGTTTCCCTGCCAATGACCACCCCAACCTGAAAGCAAACTGCATCTACTTCATCGACATGTACAACAACCTGTGCGCATTCAACCTTGAGCATGGGACCAAGGAACTTGTCCAAACTCTTACTATCGGCCAAGGCCAAGGGCGCAATGACTACTACCGTCGGCCTCAGCGAGACCAGGTCTTATGGTTTATCCCTTCACTAAAATAAATACTAAATAAATAGGTAATGGTGAAAGTTGCGTGTCCGTTTACCCTAAGATGGAGCCCATCTAGTATTGTAGGCTCCTATGGATGTTCATTTATCCCAAGATGGAGGCCGTATAGTATTCCGTATTTTTAAGTATTGGATGTCGCACATGCAACCGCAGGTTTATGTATATGAATTTCTGAAGTATCGGACATCTTTGTAACTGTGGCTAAATCAACTGTTTGAACTATTTGCAGTGGGGTGTATGTGAATTTGGAACTTTCGTTTCAAGCTGTTTTGGGCAGTAAACTATTCCGAAATTTTAATTTTCCTATTTGAGGACTGAAAAATCTAGAAAGCTACTCTCTCCGTTCTAAATTTTAAGTCGTTTTGATTTTTTTAATGAATAAGTTTTTGCATCTAGAAAAGCCAAAACGACTTACTAGGGAATGTAGGGAGTAAGCTAGTTTCAAATACTCTACAGGAGGCTTGCTTCTGCTTCTTCCCTGGTTAGTGAGCAGCTGGCTAGCTTATTGAAGCAATCACATTACACTATGATATGCTGGCTGCACGTACTCTACTTTTTGCTTGGTCCTTTCTCCTTGACGTACATCACTAGTTCACTGCTATGCAGCAATTTTCGTTCCGTCCTTCGCAATACTACAACTGAAACGGTATTCTTCGTGGTACTTGCATTGCATGCAGCAACGTTATATTCGTGGTACTTGCATTGCATGGTGCTCAAGCCCAGGTCAGGCGTTTGGTCCCTTCTATTCGTTCATATGAAAAGTCAGAAACGCGGCTTCAGCTTTCAGTTAAGTTTGGTTTTTAAATTTATGCTCACGTACCAGCTTTGTGCCGTGCGATAATGCGATACATCCAACGCGCTTGGGCAGTTGGCTAGTTTCTGTCACGCTGTTTCTATGCTCTTTCTGTGAAACAGCCCTGCTCAGCTACTCCTACTTGGCTACTTATATACTAGAAATTTTTGCGCGCTTCGCAGCGCCCTACCAGACAGATTGTTAAAACACTGGTCTAAATAAGGATCAGGGGAGAAAACTCTCAAAGAATATAGTTCAATTCATCCCAAATAGTAGCAAGTTGCATCCATCAAGTAATATCGATTAGTGAACAATAGTGTGACGCTGTGCAACACGATACACAATGATGCTACTGAAGAATAAATTCAATTGTGATACCTTACCAGTTGATGTCATAGTTACAAATGGAATAGAACTTAATTAATAAATAATTACAAAATTTAACTACCACCAACCTCCACCAGATCCTGATATGGAAGCAGGAATATTTTTTGGGTAACATAATACATCACTAACCACAACCTGAGGAAGAATGCATAGTCTGGCTACATGCATTGTGTCGATCTGGCTTATCATTAACAGGGGTGAAGACCGAAGAAACAATAGGAGATGGAACCTTCTGAACGTCATATAAGCAATTGAGATTGTTCTTCATAGTGCCGTTATTTGTTAGCTACAAAGCACATGATATGAGGTGATTAGAAAGGTCACCATAAATGTAGAACGTAGAACATAAATTTAGCTACGGCATTTGTGGTTATTGGGAGCCATCAGTTTATAAATTTCTGGTTTCATATCTTAAACATTTTTTTTTCATGTGAAACATAAATTATCTATAAAACCCCAAAGTTCTGGCTACATAGTAAAGCACCAGCAAATCATGCTTCTGCTATTTATGCTACGAGTAGATTGAAGAACAAAAATGCACAGGAGACTTCTCGACAAACTTTGACTTCAACAACATCATTTTCTAAAACCCTGGGCGCCCAACCAGGCACAGTGGAGCATTTTCTAGATTGTATATTCAAAGTACTATAGACTAATTTCAGTCTCAAATTCAAGTAACCGAAGCAATGTTGTCACCTTTACTTTCTCAGATTCAATTTCTACCAAACATCTAGACCAGTAGACCACACCAAAATGTAAAAGAAATTACAGTTGTACCATGCAAGATAACCTCATAATCGTACAAAATTAAAAGAACACGTACTCAATACATGTCACAATATATAATTAGTGTTTATAGGCTGAGAAATCTGGTTACTAAGATTGGTAGCATAAAATCTCTCTTCCTAGCACCTCCGCAGAGTCCAAATACCCATTGATAGTAACAAACTATCCGACTTCATATATTTAGGTAACCTGAATATGACGCTGCGGCTAGGATTTCTCAGGTATATATTTTTCTAAGAACAAAAGGCAGAAAATGGAGTTGACTTCTCATACATGAGACAAAGTAATCTTATTGGTTTCTCAGAATTACCAATGCGGCCTCTTTGCCATCCATTTTCCCTGTTGCGTAAGCAATTCTTGTGCTGCCTTCCGATACTTAGACTTCCGGGTTACCCAGGAGGCCTCAGATTGCATATTCTTCATTTTGTTATCATAACTCTTTTTAATGGAAAAAGGAAACAATGCATTCACACATGAATGTCAACAAATGGGCAGAGATCGAATAGTGAAACCATGTTGAATCAAACAAGAAATCAATTAAGCCATCCGATGACATGGCTGTAATTATTATTTACAGAAGTGGTGCCGCCTAAATGCAAGGGCTCAATTAATTCAGAATGATTACATCCGTTCCATATTTTAATGTACATGACATAACATGGTCACAATTAAGCTGCTTGCTAATAGCACTACCATGTGAAAAAAAGCAATCTTTTGTTAAAGCCTAAGAAGTACGCAATAAAAAATAGAAAGTCCCTTTGACACATATATCCAAACAAATCGTATCATTCTATCTGCATTACATCTTTTTTAACTGTCTTAGCTCAATGGCAAATTAAGTTATAGAAACATTTCATCATCTTTCTGAAAACAAAAGAAAACACTAACAATGGAAAGTCCATGTACAATTGTACACCTATGCAAAAGGCAGACTAAGTGGGAAGTGGGAATGATTCTTAACAAGCCTTCTAGCAAGGACAACAGAAATAAAAAAATAGAAGTAATTCCTTATTTGGGTAAATATAACCAGTTTGTAGCAGAGCCATACCTGAATGAGATCGGCACCTGAATCAACTTTCTTATAACCAAATGGAGCACCTGCAAATAGGGAACAACTCCCAAAATCAAACTATAGATCAACCAAATTGATCTACGACAGCATCAATTCAAACAAACAAGTACAAAAAGAAAAGAAGGTAGTCATCATGGATAAAACAATTGTTCTTTTCGTCAGAATTATTAAAATGTGGAGGCCGGTCTGGACGAACAACACATTGACAGTTTTACAGCATCGCCCTCTATCCAGCTATTGCACAACTGGGTTTGGAGTTGTTACTTTGTAGTGCAGGCACATCTTAAAGTGCTAAGAATTACATGATTCTAACACAACTCAGCATTAGGAAGAAACTGCACACTTGTCACTGGTGGGCAGGTTAGAGATGACAGTCTCTCCATTGTTTATACCACATCAGAATCAGCAATCGCAGCCGCAGGGTAGCAAGCACCTCACCGTGGTAGCAGGATCCAAATCGAATCTCTTCTTCCCCTGGAGAAAACACATAAAAATCAGACCAAAGCGCTCCAAGATGGCCACGAAGAACTCGATCTGAGGACAGGGCCGGAAGAGAGGAGAAGAGGGTCGAGGTATGCCGGAACGCGGCCGGTGCTGTGGTGGGGAGTGGCTCGAGCGGAGGACGACGATGTGGAGGCAGCGGTGGGGGCGAGACGGAGGTCAACACCCCCAGCCACTGGATCAGCTCCGCCGCCTCCCCTACCTCAGCCTCGTGTGCGACGCCATGATAGCGGAGACGTATAGGCACAGGGAGGAACCTGTACCTGCGCGAGACCACCACGGAGCACGCCGTCGAGTAGGCTCCACATCTTCACCCCCGCGGAGACGCTGACAAAATGCTCCGAGAGTAGCACACGCACGCCAGAGAAGGCCCCGCATCCCGGCGAAGCTGGCGGAGGCCGACCAGATCCGCTTTTTGTTGTGGGTAAGAGCGGCGGGCGTGGGATTCCTCCTCTGTGGACGCCTCCATGCCATGGATCCGCTGGAGGCTGGCCCTCCTCCGGTCGCCACTACGCTCGCCACCGCCGCCGGCTTGGGAATCGTAGCGCCACCGCCACCGCCACCGCCGCCGCCGCCGCCGACAGATGAAAAGGAAGGGAGAAGAATACAGGCAAGAGAAAACTGCGAAGGAGGGAGAGAGAGACGGCGTTATCGTGGGAGTCGGGACGGTGGGAGTGGGACCCATTACAGGCATCAGGCGAGATGGGCATGCTCCACTCCCTTGCGGCCTTGCGGGTGGAGGGGCTCCGGGGCCACGTGTCGATGCGCTAGGCTCTCAACACACCCGTGAAACGCGGAGGAGGCTTCAATTCGCGGTAGGTTTTAAGATCTCTGACTAAAGTTCAGCTTCTGCTTGAGGGGAACTCGGTCGTGTCAGGTCAAAGGCAACAAAGAGTTAAAGAGATCTGCAAGAAAGAGCACTCTCCCACAGTAGCTGCTCGAGCTCCTGTCGGCCATCTCCCTGCTACCAGCGACAGCAAGAGCGTTCGCTTCGTCGACTACTGCGCTGCCGTTGCTGATGGATTCGGCGACCTGCGCCGCCGCAGGATATGCAGCGTGCTCGGCGCGTCCGGGCACGCTGTGGCTGCGGCTGCGCGCTCAACCTCGTGCTGTTCTTGGCGGTCACCGCCAGCTTCGCGGGCGCGGCGTACCGCGCGCGCCACCGCCCGCGCGACCTCGTGTTCGTCGCCACCACCTACTACCTCCTCGCGCTGCTCCTGTGCTGCGTCGCCAAGATCGAGCTCCTACGGGACGACACGGCGGCCGGGGACGCCCAGCGCCGGAGGGCCAGGCTCGCCGCGTGGGCCGTCTCCGCGGTGCTGAGCGGTCACGTTCGCTTCGCGCGTCGCCGACGCCATGCCGATGCTGCCGCTGAAGCTGGCCGTGTGGGGCGTCACCGCCGTGTTCCTCGGCCTGGGGCTCTACTTTCTTCTCTGCTGCAACGACGCGGACCGCGGTGGTGCCGAGCCCCGGCGTGGCCAGATGGACTCCGGCAGCCGGCCAGTGAAGGCCTCGCGCGAGCTGTCCCCGGAGGAGACGGCCTGAGAATTTTAAGTTTGAACACAATTTCGAAATTTAAAGCCTTTTTTAGTATAATGACTGATGCAGGACAGAAAATTTTCTTTTTACATTACCGGCAATCACAATTCATACATGTTTATAGTACACGAGTGACGAGTCTATAAAGTCTAAACTCTTAGAGTTGGCACTTAAGATGACAGTTTGAAGTTATCAAGTAGAGCTTTGCTCGCAAGGTCTCGTGAGAAGAAGGTCCCATAAAACTCGGACATGGTAAAGTTCCTGTACTTGGGCGGGTTCTCTGAAGAAACCAGCTCTGGCAATGGTCCATAGAACACCGAGTCCCCTCTCTTCCCAGGACTGAAAAAAATGCCGATGGAAACCCTGGGTTCTTCACGTGTGTTCATGACCACCCGATGCTCGACACTCGTGTACTTGTCATTAGACATTATCTGATGACGATGAGAGGATAAGTTAGTAGTGGAAAAAAAATTCGGATGAAACCTTGATATTCTACTAATCTAGATCTGCTCACCAAAGCTCTCCGTACATTTACCACACTGTAATCATATTTACCACACATAATCTAGGTGAACTATGTATATAATAAGCACTGAGTATGCATATGACTTCAACATCTACTCCTATCTTAACGTTTTTCTGCAGGCATGTATGCACATAATCAACAGGGAAGGAATTTGCGACCTACATCAATTTACTTGGGAGTAAGATTCGAGAAGATTGTCACATAATTTTACAAGTGCCGATTATTACATATTGAAACCAATTCACGACTAGAACCGACAACAGCCTGACGGGAAAAAGAACATCATCAGTTGAGTTCATCACAGTTGCCAGCAGAACTGGCTAAAAGCCAAACATGTCCTACGTTTTATATGCTTCGAAACAAACAGGCGTTTCTTTATCATAATTTTGTTTACAGAATAGCACCTTCCCTCAAAGCTTTGAAAGGGATGAAGTATTCAAGGAAGCTAAGGGAATACTCCCTCCATCAACAAAAGATGCAATTCTCGTTTTTTAGAAGTCAAACAATTTAAACTTTAACTAAAGTTATATAAAAAAAGTATACATGATACAAAATAAGTACCGTTAGATTGATTACGAAATATTACAAACGTTAATACTATTCAAGTATTCATTACAAACTTGGTCAAAGTTAAACCAGTTTGATTAACACAAATTTCATAGTTGCATCTTTTCGTGGATGAAGGGAGCACCATAGAGTACTCCTCCAGCCATACTTATGTGCTGTTTAACTTTATGTAATCAAACTTTTGAAACTATGATGGTAGACAGTATTATACTAGTAACTCTTAAACAATTAGTGTAAAAACATACGAATTATATATGTAGATTTGTCTTAAAAAACTCGATTGTAGTTTTTATTCATACATTTATTTGCCTAATAAATTCATAAATTTATTCTAATATAGGAATAGCAAGCAGTGGCCAAAGTTCTACAACAACACTAGAAAAAGTCAACGGCATCAAAGTGGCACTGGTAGCATTATAAAGACCAAATGATAAAACAATTCCCCAAAATGATAACTGAATCAAAGTTTTTCAAGTTTGACCAAATTTATATAACAAAATAATAATATATATACAGTACTATATATACATATGGAATGATGTCATCAATCTTTGTGTTTTCTCTATAATGAAAAACATTAATTGGATACTGTAATGAATGGTAATTTTCGACAAATGAATGTACTTTGGGCACGGTATAGCAGACAATCTGATCGAACTCGTACCTGCAAGAGGTCCCCGACGTTGATGACAAGCGCTCCGGGCACGGGCTTGACATCCACCCAGGAGATTTTGCCGTCCTCGTCCTGGTGCTTCACCTGCAGGCCCCCGACGCCGTCCTGCGCGAGCACGGTGAGCACGCCGGGATCCGTGTGCGGGACGAGGCCCATGGTGCGCTCCGGCTCAGGGCAGTGCGGGTAGTAGTGGCACACCATGAGCTTCCCGTCGGCGCAGGACGCGTCCTCCAGCGCCTCGGGCCGGAGCCCGAGCCCCTGGGAGAGGAGCCCCAGCAAGGCGCGCGCGACGGCGGTGGCGCGGGCCTCCCACTCAAGCACCTCGGCGCGGCAGGCGGCCGGGATCCGGTCGGCGAGGTCGGGGCAGCGGTTGGGGCCCAGCAGGATCTGGATGGTGTCGCGCCAGCTGGCCGCGGGGGAGTTGTACAGGTCGACGTTGGAGGAGTAGTTGACCCCGCCTGTAGTGCGGCTGTAGTGCGGCGCGCGCTCGGCGGCGGGGAGCTCGTTGAAGGCGCGCACCGCTGCGAAGGCGCGCGCGGGGTAGTCGTCGGCGGCGTCAGCCGCCGCGGGGAGGGCATGGTGGTAGTTGACGAGGTGGAAGAAGCCCCAGGTGCGGGCGGCCGACGCGGCGGCGGCGGCGGCGAGGTGGGGCGGGAGGGAGAGGTCCACGACGGGGATGGAGGCGCCGGGCGGGGCGAGCGGGATGGAGCCGTAGGGGTCCGGGTGGCGGAAGAGCTCCGGGACGGAGGAGACCCCCGACTCCACGAGGCCTCGCACGCCCGTGCGTTTGTCGTCGAAGGCCTTGAGGAGCTCGGCGCGGCCGGGCGCGGGCGCGGGTGCCGGTGCCGGGAGGGAGGAGGACGCCATCGAGTCCCTGTGCAGAGCAACTGGGCAAGATGGGGTCGTCTGTTTACTGTTGCCGAGAGGCGAGAGGGATGGCCGTGGGAGCGGCGAGAGTTCGTTGCAGTTGCAGTTGCAGTCGCACCCACGGCTCCTCGCCGTCTCCGCAGCCCGAGCACGCAACCCTTGCCGGACGGGACACCGCCGGAACACGACGTGAGGAGAGTAGGCGAGCCATCGCGGTCTGAGCGCGAGGAGCCGTGCCGTGGAGGCGCACGTTACCAGGAATGGAGCCAAGGGCATCTTTACTTTGCCAAAAATTTTTAAGCAGTATCCGTCGTATCGAATCTTACGACACATGCATAGAGTACTAAATGTAGATGAAAAAAAACTAATTGCACAGTTAGATGAGAAATCGTGAGACGAAACTTTTAAACATAATTAATCCATAATTAGACACTAATTGCCAAATACAAATGAAAATGCTACAGTTGCTAAAATTCAAAAAAAATTAGATCTAAACGGGGCCTAAATTTTACTCGCAATATGTGACAACACAAACTAGATTTAGGCTCCGTTCGGTTTTTCTGGAATGGGGCGTTCCACGCCTGGAACGGTTCCCGCGGTATACAAATTTGTGAAGATAATGTCTAGCTGGGAATAGTTCTCATGCGACCGAACGGCCCCTTAGTGTTCAGCTGAATTGAGAGCCTAATGTGGGTGCATTTATGTATTTCAGGATATATTTCCAAGTGGAAAAGGGAGTATATGACATAGTAATAATGTCACATTGACGTCATCAAACTAGCAGCGGAGCAGAGCACGCGACGGCCGCGGCACAGACACCCTCGAAGCGTCGGGCAGCGTGATGCATGCACGTGCGTGCGGGAAGACGGCGCAGGAGCTGCACACGCGCCTGGCCGGGCCCGGGACCCGGAAGCCCAGAGGGCACCGGAGCTGCCGGCGCGGAGGCGCATGGTGACGGCCAATGGCGGATGCATAACATGACTGAGGGGGTTGGTCTCTTTTTCTTCCAATCTCTTTTTATTTTTTTTCTTTCCTCTACCTCTTTTTCTCCCTCATCATCTCTATATTTCCATTGATGCACCAGCTGTAGGGGGGCTGGACTCCCCCAGCCCCCCCTTAGATCCGCCCCCGGTGACGGCGCTTTGCCGAATTTGGGATAGAGCCCAAGCCATGAGGGGAGTTGCGGACAGGCTGCGGCACGCCGGAGCGAGGGTCACGCGGAGCGGAGCACGGGCCACGTGGATGGCCCGCAGCGTGGGTCCGCGGGGTTGCGGACCAGCCACGGCATAGCGACGGCGTGTGGCAGAGCAGAAACACCCCGGCGTTGTCGAACTCAGGCGGGAGCAGGGACGACCGCGCAGCGACGCCCACGAGAGGAGGCTGTAGAAAGATGGAGAATGGGGGGGGGTGGACGCTGCGAAAATAGGAAACCACGGCGCTGATTTGTGTCTCGGCCCTGACGGCATTGACCGAGTAGGGACGCTGCTCGGCAGCCGTGCTAGTGCCAAGCTCGGTGTCTGGAGACTCACGGTGGGGCAAGAGTGGCGGCCGGAAGCGGAGGGAGCGGCGGTGCCCCATGGGGAGGCGGCGGCTGCATAAGGGAGGAGCGGCAGGTGGTGCAACAGTTCGAGACAAAAGGGGGCGAGTCGAGTGGGTTCGGGAGCATTCGTGACACCCGGGTCGGGTAGGAGGCCCGCGAACACCATGATCGGACGGTCAGCATCGCTTGTTTGCTGGATCGGACGGCTAATGGGCTAACAGGCGGCGTGGCATGATCTGATAGCCTCGTTTCGGGTGCAAATTTCGTATAGTAAGAGATTAGTAATTTTCAACCTTTTCTCCTTTCCTTTCCAGAAATTCTATGCTCGAAATACCCTATTTGTCCCAAAAAAAATTATACGATCTAAACTATTATAATCATGACTAAGTTACAAAAAATAGTATCAACTGTTATACGGTTCTAAATACACACAAAAAAATATTTATTTCACAATAAATCGAATAATACTTCCTTGATATGATAAACATTAGTATTTTTTTATAAACAATTGATCAAACTAAATATGGTTTGACTTTGTACTATAGCTAAAAGTGCACTCTTTTAGGACGAAGAGAGTGTTAATATCTTGGGCAGTAAGTGTTGCCATACCATATAGAAAAAAATCTGTCATATACAATAGATATAGATATAGATAAACACAATAAGTGAGATAACAAACGAGCCCACTGAGTGAGACAAATAATTGGTCAAGCACATGGTTGTTAGTTTTATTTGGGTTTTTATGATTTAATAATGTTATTTTCTATTGGTAGGCAACGTGAAAACTTCGTTAAATCGACTCACTTTTTTATGTACTAGTGTGCATTACTACGGGACAACTAAATTTTTGTACTAAAAACACACGGATCGTATGATAAGATAACAATACTGTAAAATTAAATATCGACGTTAAAGGGACATTTAATCAAAAAAGCAAAGTTCAACAAATTAATACAGTCACGGAGAGTGCGGTGTTGCAGACTAACAAACTTTACTGTATATACCTTTCGGCTGGAAGAAATCTCCGATATCCATTTTTTCCGTGCGTCAATAAATTCATGAATAAGTTCTACCATATCTCCACACTATCATGTACAAAGGTTCGAGTATATATATATAAAAATATTAATGCCTGTCACATAAGTAATACTACGTGTCTTGAAAAATCTCTCACAAAATCTTAAAACAAAGTATGTTATACTCACCGTATAAATATGTGACTTTAGGCCTATTCCACACAGACATGTACTATAGAATAGCAAATGTGTCCGTACGTTGCAACGGGAGAAGAAACTTAATTTTTTATAAATCCATTATTATGTAAACCACTTTAGTCAAAATTCAATCATAAATTATTAAATTAATTTTATGTAAAAAGGGCTATAATTCCTAATAAAGAGTCATAGTGATTCGTGACACAATTTTATAGGTTAGAATTTACTAAAATTGAGGTACTATTATAATAATGATAGTTAACGCATTGTTAGGAAACAACCACTTAAACAATGTATCACAGCAGTATTTTGTTTTTCTTTTGTCTTTATCTCTCTGGGTCCATATCTTAGTTTGGAGCAGACTTCATCTCACGCATACTTCTCATATACACGTCTAGCCTAAGTTGTTGTCTCCTCTCTACCGCTCGATCGCCTTCTTCTCTCTACTTCCATTAGATCTCTGCATAATAAACTAATTCTTTTGGAAGGTTTATCGCTGATAGGGATCTATGCGGTATTAACTATAGATTTTTGGAGAAAGCATATCAGTTCTCCGTGACTAAGCGAACATTTATTTTATTTGGTAGAAGTGGAAGTGAAAGGCCCTAATGGCTAGAGGGGATGAATAGCCTAATAAAATTTCTACAACAACACTTAACAAAAGGATTAGACAATTATGAGGCGAAGCGAGTTTTACGCTAGCCTACCAAAATGCAAGCCACCTACCACAATTGTAGTTTAGATGGAGTATATCCACACAAAGGCTAGTGTGCTCTCAAAGGCTAACTAAAGAGCCACATCAACCAAGCAAGTAAGCTCTCACAACTAACTACACTAAAGAGCTTGACAATTAGTTTGCGGTAATGTAAAGAGATTGATCAAGAAAGTTATACCGTCGTGTAGATAAAGAAGCCAATCAATCACAAGAGTGAATAACAATAAAGACCAATCACCTCGGAATCAAAGGATAAACACAATGATTTTTTACCGAGGTTCACTTGCTTGCCGGCAAGCTACTCCTCCTTGTGGCAATTCACTCACTTGGAGGTTCACGCGCTAATTAGCTTCACACGCCAAACCCTCAATAGGGTGCCGCACAACCAACACAAAATGAGGATCACACAAGCCACGAGCAATGTACTAGAGTACCTTTTGGCACTCCGCCGGGGGAAGGTTAAGAACCCCTCACAATCACCACGATCGGAGCCGGAGACAATCACCACCCTCTGCTCAACGATCCTCGCTGCTCCAAGCCGTCTAGGTGGCGGCAACCACCAAGAGTAACAAGCGAATCCCGCAGCAAAACACGAACACCAAGTGCCTCTAGATGCAAACACTCAAGCAATGCACTTGGATTCTCTCCCAATCTCACAAAGATGATGAATCAATGATAAAGATGAGTGGGAGGGCTTTGGCTAAGCTCACAAGGTTGCTATGTCAATGCAAATGGCCAAGAGAGTGAGCTTGAGCCGGCCATGGGGCTTAAATAGAAGCCCCCACGAAATAGAGCCATTGTACCCCTTCACTGGGTACAGCGCGGGGTGACCGGACGCTCCGATCATACTGACTGGACTCTGAACACAGTGTCCGGTCGTCCGATGTCAGCCACGTGTCATACTGCGTTCAACAGGAGTCGTCAGATCTCAACGGTCATCTGTTGACCGGACGCTCCGCTACAACTGACCGAACTCTGAGCCTCCAGCGTTCGGTCGTTTCTAGTAATGTTCTAGAAACGTGTTTCTTCGACCGGACGCGTCCGGTCATGCTTGACCGGACCCTGCCAACGTCTGATCACACTATGACTTCTTACTGTGCCACCCGACAACACGATCGGACCCAAACCCTTAGCGTCCGGTCTGTCCATGACCCAGCGTCCGGTCATTCACCGACGCTGGCGTCTTCACTGCCATACATGGCCGAATGCGCCGGTCCCCCAGAGGTCCAGCGCCCGGTCACTGTATAGCCAGCGACACTAACTCATTTTCACTTCTATCTTCTTTACCCTTGCTCAAATATGGTAACCACCAAGTGTATCACCTTGTGCATATGTGTTAGCATATTTTCACAAACATTTTCAAAGGTGTTAGCACTCCACTAGATCCTAAATGCATATGCAATGAGTTAGAGCATCTAGTGGCACTTTGATAACCGCATTCCGATATGAGTTTCACCCCTCTTAATAGTACGGCTATCAAACCTAAATGTGATCACACTCTCTAAGTGTCTTGATCATCAAAACAAAATAG